GTTAAATCAGAAAGTGAATCTAGTTGATACTTTGGGGGATCAAAAGTAAAAAATTTTTAATATTTTTCTAAATAATCGGGATAAACAAACTAAAAATTAAGATATCCAATAGGTATATTATTATGATAATAAATTCTTATATTTGGACGCGGTGCATTACTTGCAATACTTGCATTATTAGAAAACCGTGGTTGTCGTCTTGCCGATGCGACAATAATCGTCACTCTTAAGGTCTATTCCCACTGCTCCGGGACGTGTCCGGGTAGGGACGGGTCATTTTTCAGCACGTCCGGGCAACCCGGGTTTCAGCATTCACACTATTCAGAGTTCCATCCGGGTTTATCTACAATTTTGTCAACGTCGTCAGTTGTGATTAGGATTTGTAACCACATGGCCGTATATTATATTTTAGTATAATAATATTATTTTCATAAATTATAAATTAAAAATTATAGTGAAGTAGGTATATTTTAGTATAATAATATTATTTGCATAAATTATAAATTAAAAATTATAGTGAAGTAGGTATATTTTAGNATTAAAAATTATAGTGAAGTAGGTATATTTTAGTATAATAATATTATTTGCATAAATTATAAATTAAAAATTATAGTGAAGTAGGTATATTTTAGCCTTTAGGTATACCTATTTGTAAATTATAGTATCCAAATGAGTATAAAGTTAACCTACATTTAAAGTAAGTATAAATAATTTAATTTAATTATTTACTTAATAAATTACGTAGTAATACACAAATTAATTTAAATAATTTCAATTTAATTATTAGCAAAATGGATTTTTCTATTAAAGAACTTGCGATGATGGCATTACTGTTTGACGAGGAAGAACAAGTTGCCCAAGAGCCTCGTAAGTACTGGGTTCACTCTGCTTGGAAAAAAACGTGATAACGAAGGAGAGTTCCAAACTTTATATAAGGAACTTATAGATGTCGAAACTAAATTTCACAAATACTTTAGGATGTCCATGTACTGTTTCGATGTCTTACTAAAAAAAATCAAAAAGTACATTAAAAAACAAGATACAAATTTCAGAAAATGTATACCACCTAAGCACCGTTTAGCTGTTTGTTTAAGGTAAGAAATTAATATTCAGTGAACGTTTCTAGTTAACTTGAGTGATATTTTGCTGTATTTTAATGGATACATGCATTGTATAGTAGGTAATATTTATCTAATAATAAGTAAAACAAATTGTTTGTAATATTGAAAACAAATAATAATTTACTATCTTTCACAGTAAATAGCAAAAATTAAAATCATATTGAAAAATATCTTAAAAAGTCTAATAGGCAAGACTGATAATACATAATATTATTTAAAATAATAATAACAATATTCAAAATAAAAAGAACAACCTAGAATATTTTTAATAATACCTTTTTTTTCTATAGGTGAAAATTAAAAAACAATCGGTATAATCATAATTATTAGTACCTATAATAAATAAAACAAATTGTTTATAAACATAGAATTAGAAATTATATAAGCATAAAAATTCAGAGTTACATATTTTGGTATTGTTGTTGCTCATCTTGTCTCTCATGTGAAGTCATATCAGTTATGTTATGTTGTAAGAATCCATAATTTTGAGGATTTTTTACATCAGGTGAAATCGGAATGTATGACTGTTGACGTTGGTCGTTCATAATCTGTTGYATTTCGAGATCTTGAACTACATTAAAAATTTTAGTTTTAGCTAAATTGATACGATACGGATCAAACGACCTCATCGTGGCTGAGATTCCCATAAAAAATTCATGTATTTGGTCTTTTTCGTTAACTTTGTTTTCTGTACGTTCCTTATTTTCTAAAATATACCTCATCAGCGTCGATAAGGCTGTTTCTTGGTCTTTTTTTCCTGATACCGCCCACGCCAATCCGAGAAGATCCACGTTGAATACACAGTTGTGGTTCTATTTGTGTGGAAAGATGCACTGTTGAATTACCTGCGGTATCATTAACAGTTTGTTTTTCCTARTTACTTACTTATATCATGAGGTCCAACGTTTTCTGGTGCTTCGTCGTCTTCTTCGGAACTACTGTGACTTTCGATGTTTGTAGTTGTTGGTCTTTCTTGAAAATACTGCTTTAAAAAACTAAGTTGGTCTTCACATTAATTATACTTYGGTATTTTTTTTGATGCTTGACCACTTAAAGTCTTTTTTTATTGAGGACTTTTCTATACTGGTATCTTATATTTGACCACCTAGCTTTACACGCGGCATCTAAAATTTAAAAAGGTAGGTTAAGTGGATGTCGCCCTGCTGTACAGTAGGTGGGCAAGTGGATGTTAAATTTGAATTCAATGATATAATATCATTGTATACGAAAAACGATTCTGAGCTGAGACGGTTTGTCATGTGGATATTTTATATTATATTTATATACCTATTATAATATTTCTTATTGGTAATAATTATAAATACGGTTTCCAGTAGGTAAGTTGAATTAATATTACAACAAAATAACTATAAAAAAAAACTGTGTGTTTATATTTTTGAGATTTTTTGGTTACAGAATAACCTACTTACGTGGTACCATGTTATTAATTTTCAATCCTTAGCTATAAAAGTTGAAAATTTTATCAATTTTTAACTACAAAATAATTTTTAAATTTTAAATTTGATAAAATTTGTCAACATTTGAACTTTGAATGCTATAAAACAAAATTGTGCCTATGTATATTTTAATATTTTTCAACTACTATTGTAATAATATATCAGGAGTCTTATATTACATTTTTATGCTTTTTGGGCCAACAAATTAAATTTTATTGATATTTATAGAAAAAAAAACTAAAATAATGGAAATTTGAAACTGTGCATAAATAGCTTAAAAAGTGTCAAAATTTTATAATATATAGAAAATAAAAATATTAACACTCAGTCAAATTTTCATGCATCTATAGTGGTTCGTTTAACAACAAAATGAAAAAAACGCTAGGTACACGAAAAATCGAGTAAATATCCAATGTTGTAAAAATAAGATCTTCAAACGCTCATAAAAATTTAATTTGACTTTCTTGTAGGCATTTTTTTTTTTGATAAAATTAAGCATATTTATGAAGAATCTTGTATTCAATTTTAAGATCTTAGATTTGAATAGACATTTTTTTTATGAATTTCTAACACAAAATAATTTGCTAATTTTCGTGTTTTTTCCGTAATTTGTCAATATTTGAACTTTAAATGCTTATAAAAAATAACTGTGAAGATTTTTAATATTTTACAACTACTATTGTAACAATGTACTAGGAGATTYGTATTAAATTTTYAAGCTTTTTTACCCAATAAATAAAGTTTTATTGACATTCAAAGAAAAAAAACCTAAAAAAGTTGGAAACTAAGTCGTATATCCGTAAACAGCTCAAAACAACTCAAAACAACTCAAAATATTATGAAAATTTTATCATGTATAGAAAATGATAATATAATCGGGTTTGCGTAAAAATTCCCGTTTTTTCCTTAATTTTTCATTTGTTTTTCACAGTGCTTTTGAAAAYTASTGGGAAATTTGTACTTTTGACCCCCCTAAGTACCATATAGATTCACTTTCTTATCAGAAAAGATACTGTTCAAGAAAATCTAAGCGTTTTTACTGTCCTAAAACGTGATGACATACACAAAAAAAATCTAAAAAAACACACATCATTGTAAAATCAATACATTCATCGCTCTGCTCAGAATCTAAAATAATTAAAATTAAGAAATTATTTGAATAAAAAACTGTTTGAATCACTTTTCGATTCTGAGCGGTATGATAAATGTATTGATTTTACAATGATGCATATTATTTATTTGTTGTGTCTGTAATCACTTTTTAGGACAGTAAAAATGGTTAGATTTTCTTCAACCGTATGTTTTATGATAGGAGAGTGAATCTAGTTGGTACTTTGGAGGGTAAAAGGTAAAAAATTCCAAGTAGTTTTCTAAACCGACAGGAATTACAAAAACATTTATTTTAAAAACGGGAATTTTACGCAAAATCGGTTTTCGACCAAATCGATTTTGGTTTTTGTTGTAACTCTATAAAACAAATTACGGTATAACATACGGTATATACATGAAATGTTAAATTAATAAAATTTATATTACCATTTTCTACACACCATACAATTTTCAAAATATTTTGACTTGTTTTGAGCTGTTTACGTACATTTTTAGTTTTCAATATTTTTAGTTTTTTTTTTTTCTAAAAGATGTCACTAAAGTTTTGTTTGGTAAAAAGTGTGAAAATGTAATATAAGGCTCCTGATTTATTGTTACAATAGCAGTTGAAAAATATTAAAAATACATATTAAGCACCATTTTTTATAAGCATTTAAAGTTCGAACTTTAACAAAATTAAAAAATAATTTTTATGTTAAAAAATATAAAATGCTCAACTTTTATAGCTAAAGATTGAAAATGTAAAACAAGGTTCAATATAAGTAGATTATTCTGTAACCGAAAAATATAAAAACTCATTAGGTATTTATATAGTTATTTTAAGTTTAACTTTATACCAAAATTACATATTAATTTAATTTAACTAATAACCAAGAATAATAATTTTAGTCATTATTTTGTGATTTATAAAATTAATTATCACAATAATTCATATTATATCATAACTAAATAGAAAATTATAAAATAGATTTCAGATTTTTGGCAACAGGAGATTCTTTCAAAACCATATAATTTAGCTATCGTTTAGGACATTCCACGGTGTATGAAATAGTGAAGGATACTTGTAAAATATTGGTTGAACAATTAATGCCAGAAGTAATGCCACTTCCTACAACAAATATGGAAAGAGATCGCAGACGAATTTTGGAGTTGTTGGAATTTTCCAAATTGTATTGGGTGGTAAACATGTTGTGATTCAGGCTCCACCGAGTAGCGGGTCTCAATATTTTAACTTTAAAAAAACATTTTCCGTGATACTTATGGCACTTTTAKATGCACATTATAATTTAATTATAGTCGATGTTGGTGCATACGGCAGAAATAGTGACGGTGGGATTTTTATGCGCTCAAAATTAGGAAAAGGACTAGAAAGAAAACAACTGAATATCCCACCAAGCACTGCGCTACCAGGTACAACAAATATTGCACCATTTGTCATTTTAGGAGACGAGGCATTCCCTTTAAAAGAATACTTGATGAGACCCTACCCGGGAAAACAACTCGATGAGAATTCCAAACGCATATTATATAATTATCGTCATTGTAGTGGAAGGAGGGTTGTAGAATATGCATTTGGAATTTTATCCCAAACATTTAGGATATATAATCGTAGAATCCAAGCAAAACCCGAAAATGCAGATAATATAATTTTAGCGACTTGCATTTTACACAATTTTATTAAAATATATGATGGCAAAGTGACATACAATCGAGGAGAAACTACCAATTCCGAAGACGCGTCAACTCTTCAAAATTTAACGATGCAAGGAGGAAATGCGAGTCAGCAGGCATTCCAGGTTAGAGAATTATTCAATGACTTTTTTAGTTCTACAATTGGAAAAATTTCGTTGCAAAATAAAGTAATATAATTGAGATTCATAATAAAAATAATATTATGTACCTAATACATTTTAGTATTTTACAGCCATTTTTTTTAAAATTGATTATCAGTTAAATAGATTATAATATAAATAATAGTTTTTTATATATTTAATATTTATACATTTACTTTCATATATTTGTAATTATTATTATGCATTAAAATATGTTATAAGTTATAAATATATAGTAAACAAAAGGTTTTTCATTAATAATTTTAATTTCATATTTGTYACTTTCATCTACTAAAAATAAAGGAATGTATTTATACAATGATGTGTGTTTTAAATTTATTTAATTATGTATTTTTTATATCTAAAATACATAAATTTTATTGTTTATTAAATGAAAAGTTAAGAATAAAAACATATTTTATGTATTTAAATTTTAAATATAATAAATAATTACCTGGTTGATTCAGTTCGTCACCTATGACTTTCCATATTTTATCCTTGTGGGTCGCATC